TGATGAAGATGTTTTTGACACAAAAAGTTCAGAAAATGTAAGTATACGAGAGGGTGAATTACCAAAGTTTTTCTTTGAAACAAAATGTCAAATCGAAGTTCGCATGGTGTGTTCTCCGTGTTAGGTCTCGCTCTGTAATCGCCTTTCTCGTCCCATATGATCTCTCTCCGGATGATGATATCCATAGCTAAAAGCATCTCACGTTTCTGCCGTAGAGAAAATCTTTGAGCTGAAAAGCCATATACATCTAGTATCTCGTGAAATTTAATAATATCAGCTGAATTTATTCCTGCATAGAATGTAAATAAATTCAATCTTGTTTTAATTTGTTGTATTATTTCACTGACTTGAAAGAAATTCCCAACACCATAAAAACACGTGGCGAGCATCAATGGGCCACGCGTTAAATCCAGTTCTTTTGCCTTGGTGAAATATTCAACTTGTTCCTCGTGGGTCCGTGCTTTCAGCGCCTCTCTTTGAAACATTGATAAACGCTGACAAGTGACAAATTCGATCTCAAGTTCTGATAAATTCTCAAGATTTGGGTTCTCCACTTTGCTGAATTGACTCAGGTCATCAATCAGGAAAGAAGAAGACAGCACTCTAAATTCTCTCAAATAGGACTGGTCAACAAAGTATGACCTCAGACATGGAATAATGATATCTTTATGATGGGTAAAAATATGTATGCGTTTCTCGCATTTAGCAAAACAATTCCACAAACCCAATTTAAACACAGTTTTCAATGTTTCTTTAAGTTGCATTTTTGTTTGACCGTAAACCTTTGATTTGAACATATTTCTCTCGGGAATGAAAAAATTGGGACAGCTTTCATTTTTTATCCAAAGGGTTAAACGCAACAAGCACATCAAAAAACAAATGACTATGTTGTCTGGGCGCCAGAGTTCTGGAGCCGTCTCTTCAATGACCCAAAACATCAAAGTTTTTATGAAATATGAACAGAGTGAGTTTTCCGGGTAGGTGTCTATTTTTTCGATACATTCTTTCAGAACAATTTTGAAGAGACCATAGCATAGAAATTGTGTTTGATTGAACGCAAACATCAGCCTCTTCTCTGCTTTGTTAAAAGACAGTCTCCATAAGAGATCGTCTTCCACGTCTTTAACTGGACCCAGGGGGACGAGGTGACATCCGTCTAGCTCTATTTCTCTAACCAATTGTTTTGATGGCCAAAGTCTTGGTCTTTTGACCCATTCCTTTGCCTGTGGGGGCCAAAATGGACATTCCAGTGAGAATGCAATATCTTGATCAGATGATAGCCCAGTCATGGAAATGCATGGACCGTGTATAACGAAATTAGCATTCGGATCTTCGCTTCTCTCTTTCCACCATTTTTTAAATCTATGGCTAGAAACATAGGTACCAATTAAGGCAGATTGGATGCACTCAGCATGCTCTTTAAAAGTACCCTCTCCGCTGTTTTGAAATTTAAGCAACACATACCCTTCCTTCGCATAATTGGTCTCATGACTTATTATAAGAGATAACTTTTTATCAGAATTATTTCCCTCTCTTGAATACAATATTTCCATATTTGAATGGTGAATGTTTACGTCTTTAAGTACCTTCATATAATCACGATCAGTTCGTCCGTGTCGGAATCCTTCGGCAACACTTCCGGTACAGATCGTTTCGAGATATGGATGATAAATGGAAAGAAAATCCTTCCTCTTTACTTCGAATTCTTTGACTTTTCGTCTCATTTGAATAGATTCTTCAAAACCCATTTGTACACTAAGTTCATTATATAAACATTTATTGTGATGAATGCAATTTCCATATTTATACTCCATTTTTATTGCATTGTTTTCAATGAGGAGTTAAAAAGTCCTTACTTTAATTTTCCTTCTGTGTATATATTACAGGTACTCCCATTTTCTACAGTAACAATTAAAGCAATTTGTAAACGAGCTTAAGCATGGAATTCCCAGTGAATATAGCGTATATCTAGTAACCTTCCTTTATTTTGCATATGTCCAACAGTATTCCATGGTCTCAAGCCACGGTTCGGAGTCCGCATATAGCTCTCTCAATGGGAGAGGATCGTACATTTTTGGCCGTAGTTTACAAATATGACAGTATTCCCGGATACAGTTCGAGGCCTTTCGGTCTTTTAGTAATAGTAGGCATAGTCACGATCATACAGCCAACAAATATTTTATAAAATCACTTATGCTTTGTTCATTGCATTAACCAGTTTCACAAACCGAAAGCTGTTACAGAAAATTCCGGCACTATTTTTCGGCTATCTTGTCTAACGACTTTAGACCCCGAGTAAGTGCTTGCCGGTGTGTTAAGGGTGACTAGGTTTTAATTTTTTAAATTAAATACTGTTAATTACGGAAACGTATTAGTGTTATATATTTTTTTTAGTTGGTACTTTGATATTGAAGAGTGTACTTATACAGCGTGATTCCTTGTGTGAAAAAAAGTTTGCATGATTATTAAGTTTCCCGTTTGATTTAGAACTGAAACAGAACAGATCGATCGAGTTCCTTATTCCTTGACTCCAGAATTTAAAATTGCCTTTTCCAACTTAAAATTTAAAATAGAGTTTTTCTTATTTTTTCTTTATTTTCCCCCATTTATTTATTCTCACAATGTCAATGGTTTGTGATTTTGGAACTCCGAGATGACATTTACCCTTGACATTGTGAGGATGCCATTTATCAAACATTATCTATTAATGCATTGAAATAATCGTTGGCAATTAAACTGTCTCAATCCTATTTTCTGTACACGTATGTTGGGGGCATTGGGTGTTCCAACTTCTTTCAGTACCGGGATAGGGGGTATAGGTTCCAAGTTCTTTCAGCACCATTTTTTTTCATGCACTACTACATTACCCTTCCTTTTACTGTACTGCAATAAAAAGGGGAACGGCTTTTCAATGATCTTTTTCAATAGTAAAAAGTTATATCTGGAAACAAAAGGCCCATGGACCACATCATTCACCTGAGTAACTTTGGCCATTCTGTTCTTTAACAGACCCCACCCCCTTGTAATACCTATTGTGACCCTGTCCTATACAACTAGGGGTCATAATTTGAACAATTTAGAATGTACACTACCCAGGATGCTTCCACATACTCAGTAACTTTCAGCTTTCCTGGCCCAGTAGTTCTTGAGAAGATTTTTTAATGACCCCATCCTATTTGTGTCTTTCGTGATTATCTCCCCTTGGAAGGGGACTTGGCTCTTTTTAAATCTCCTTCACCCAAGAATGTTTTGTACCAAGTTCGGTAAAAATTTGCCAAGTTGTTCTTGAGAAGTTAAAATGTGAAAGGTTTACAGACGTCGGGCGGACGACGAACAACGGGTTATCAGAAAGGCTCACTTGAGCTTTAAGCTCGGCTGAGCTTTAAATGAAAAGACAAGAGCAAAACGCCATAGGCCAGTGTAAAGACCGTTGTTAAACAATTCGATCAGTTAGGTTTATGATCTGGATTGTAAAATTGTCTATAAAAAGAATCAACTTCGAAATCTTTTGGTAACACTTGCTAGTATTTTAGATGTATAACTTGGTAACTATAAGAAAATTAAATACAGTGCCGAATTTATGCATTAATCATTTAATGAATTTCATTTGAGGCACAGTTTTAAGAACATACTGGTATTCACTAACACTAGATCGAGTTACATTTGACGTCAGTGGTGCTCCGACAGCTGATTTGTTAGATTTGTTTACCTGAGAAAAAAAAATATTCTTAAAAAATATTTTATTGAAATTTTTAGGCATTTTTTGATAATGTTAACTTTAAAGTTTTAATGAAACAAAAGATATTGAAAATGTTCGCGTTTGTTTTCTGGTACAACCATCGCACAAAACTCTTGACTATACTGCAACAATAGGAAGGGCTGGTCTTTCAATGAAGATTTTCAATAGTAAAAAGAGGCCTGTGGGCCAAATCGCTCACCTGAGCACATGGACTTGTTAAAAAACACAAATAAGCTCAGTATTGAAAAGTTTACTTGTTGGGGGGAGGGGGTATTTGAATGTTCTGTTACTTGAGAATGTCACTATATCAATATAAAAGCATACATGTTTATTTTTATCATACCTGAAAAGAAGACTTTTAAAGATTTTTCTAACATATTACTTGATCTCCCATTGTGACCCCTCGCTAACCCCCCTACCCCGGACATTATTTGAATTTTAAATCTTCACTACTTGCAAGTGCTTAAATGTCAATTTGACTAAACTAAACTTTTCTGTTCTGAAGAAGATTCTTTCCTTACATATGCTTATGCAAAACTTCGACCCCTCATTGTGGCTACACCCAACTCCGGGGGTCATAATTTAACAAACCTGGATATAAACCACCTAAAACATAGGTAATCAAAGATTACGAAGCTCACCTCGACGAATGTTTTCAGTTTAGCTAATGCAAACCTCAGATAATATTTTCTTAAATGTTAGTACATGTATTTATTTTGACAACAATATTAAAGTAAGTTCTGTTGAAATAGGTCTTAAAGTTTATTGGGGATTGACCTGTTCCAAAAACTTTAACCTTGTCACTCTTTTGGAAAATGTGGGTCAGATCCAACATCCGAAGTAATTCTAGTAGTGTCCATCCCCAGATGCATCATCCATGCAAGTGTGATCCAGGTGGGGCTAATAGTAACATGGGAATGGACCTCTCCAAAAACTTTTCTGAAAATTGTAGGTCAGATTCAGCATCCTAAGCAAGTCTGGTAGTGTCCATCCCTAGATGCATCATCATCCATGTAAGTTTGGTCTGGGTAGGGCTTATAGTTACTTGGGAATAGACCTGCTAAAAAAACTTTAACCTGGTCACTCATCTGGAAAATATAGGTCAAATCCAGCATCCGAAGAAAGTCTGGTAGTGTCCATCCCTAGATGCTTCATCCATGAAAGTTTGGTCCAGGTAGGGCTTATAGTTACTTGGGAATGGACCTGCTCCAAAAACTTTAACCTGGTCACTCATCTGGAAAATGTAGGTGATATCCAGCATCCGAAGCAAGTCTGGTAGTGTCCATCCCTAGATGCATCATCCATGCAAGTTTGGTCCAGGTAGGGCTTATAGTTACTTGGGAATGGACCTGCTCCTAAAACTTTAACCGGGACGCCGATGCCGGGGGTATAACATAAGCTCATCTTGACTTCGTGGAGGTGAGCTGAAAATTACCAATCATGGATTTGGTGTTCATTGAGTGGTATAAGAGGAGTTGCAGATAAGAGATGGGTAACCCAAAGCATAACAGACAGACTTGCAGCTAGATGGATGGGCAGCTATACAGCTAGACGGATGGACATCTCAATTACTATTTACCCTCTCTCTTTTCAAGCGAAGGGTTTAATGAAGTACAAGACTGGTTTTGAAACCTGGTTTGTACATCAAAGTGAAATGTATCAAAAGAAATTCATTCATCCCATGGATTTTTTTTTAATTTATTGATCGTATCATTTCAACATTTCAGCCACTGCATTACAATGTCCTGATTTTGCAGACAGAAGTTGAATTTAAAAGAATTTTTAAAAAACTCCATTACCAGTCTTTTTTCTTCACATTGTTCCAGTGAAAAAGTGAGTGAATTTTAAAGTTTTTCTGTCTTGTATGGGACACAGATAAAAACACTGCCAGGTATTCATTGAGTACCAGACTTCTTCTTTGCTGCCTTTTCTTCAATGTCTCCTTCTGCACCA